CAGCATCAGCATCAGCAGAAGCATCATCATCATCATCATCATCATCATCATCATCATCATCATCATCATCATCATCAACGGCATCAGCAGCTATATCATCGAAAGCATCAACTTTCTGTTGCTCCTCCTCGTCCTCCCCCCCCCTCCCTCCCTCCCTCCCTTCTCTTACCTCCCTCCTGGAGGGCAGGGCGGCAGGAGGAGACGCGGTCGGCGGAGGCAGATGAAAAGTGCAGGGGAGGCGGGTGGGGGGGGGTCAACAGGATGGACAGCAGGAGGGGAAGGGGGAGGAGGGGGAAAAAGGGCATGAGGAAGAGGATGTTGCTCCCCGCCGTGATGTGCTGTCGTTCGTCCACATCTAGCCCCCCACACCCCTGCGTTGTGTGACCGGAAAATCAGCTACAGGAACATATGTAGATTTCGCTGTGATCAAGCACCCTGCAACACACCAGAGGATTGTTTAACCAAGCGTGGCCGCGAGGAGAGCTGCCGTATGGAAGAAAACAAGTGGTCTTGCCTTCGGCGTAGGAGCTCAGTACTTCCTGTTCCCTCAACATTGCATGCCACCCGCCCACCAACAGCCGCCTGCGGTCGAGCGCCGATCATGGGCGTCTGCACGCTTACTGGGGGGGCGAGCGGGAACCCATCCTGCGGCGGCAATGGGGGACAAGGAGCAAGGGCAAAGGGTTGAAACTCCTCCCCGCGATAATTCTAATAAGCCCAATGTTCGCTGAGGACTGGTCTCCTTGACAATAGCCGAAACCCTCCCGAATTTCCTCCGAAAAGGGTTCCGGGAGGGTTTTCGGAGGTTTCCGGGAGAGTTTTGGAATGGTTCTCGCCATTCCTAAGGAAAACCAATCTTTAGCGAACCCTGGGGTTTCTCACGATAGTTATCAACCTGCTCCCCGCGCCGTTGCTGACCCTGCTCCGCGGGGGCGCGGTCGCCTTCTCGGCAACGTCTTTGTTCTCGGCACCGTCCTTGCGATGGTGTTTCCTGGCAACAAGAAAACGCAGAAAGACGACGGGCACACGGGGTGGAGAAGACGAGCGCGTACACACATGAAGCGGCAAAGGAGCTCGCGCAATGATCTGAACAGCTTTTGCCTGGACTCCGACGAATTGATTGGCGCATTGATAATGGCGTGCACGCGCAAGACATGGTAACTGACGTTGTGAACACAATGTCCGACGTCCAGATCAGTGCGTCCGTCGGGGGGGTCTGCTGTCTCTGCGCACTTCGCCGCGGATTTCAATGTTAAGCTGGCTCGGGCGTCCACCATGCCGATGAAACTACCGCAGGCCAGGCCCATCGATGGCGGGACGCTGCGAAGCTGGTTCGGGTCCCCCCCCCTCCTTGGGAAAAGAGTGGGGCGGATGGGCGGCGATGAGTTTGCTGAGCTGGCGTGCAGGAGCGATCGTGTCGTTGGCACTGGTGAAATTGAGCAGTTGATTGGGGCCACACGCTGGCAGTGCTACAATAGCGCAGCTGGGCCAAGTCCAATTTGGTGGTTCGGACACACTCGGACAGACAGGCAGGCAGACAGGCAGGCAGGCAAGCAGGCAGGCAGGCAGACAGACAGGCAGACGGAAGAGGAGGAGGAGGAGGAGGAGTCCGAGCGCGAAGCCTGGCTGGGGACCGGCGCAATCCAACAACGCTCTGCGTCAGCCCCCCCGAAGACGACCATTGCATGGCGCCCGAGCCACCAACGCACGCACACACACAAACACACACACAAACACACACACAAACACACACACACACACGCACACACACACGCACACACACACACACGCACACACACACACACACACCATTTTGCACGTGCGCGCGTGTGCGCACGGCCGGGCGCCCCAGGGCGCCACGAGAAAAACCCCACCAGCCCTTCGGGCCCTGTGCCTACGCGACCATTCAGGGCTGGACCTGAACGTTGCTTTTCGTTGTGTTCGTTTTGTTGTTCGTTTTGTCCTACATGTTTTCCTGTACCTCCCTGCTTAAACGGAAAACCAAACACAGCCGAAGTCCAGAAAAACAGCGTTAGGTCCAGCCCTGCGACATATTTATTTGGCTGACCCATCCTGTTAGAAATAGCCCTGCCCAGGGCCCAGATTCGGCGGGCCGCTGGCAATCGAGACCGAAAATGCGAATGGGCACCACTCGCGCTGAAACGCTGTGGCCCCCCCCCTCGGACATACAAGACGGACCCAGCTTTCGCTGGCCGTGGGCGCCAAACACGGACTCTGATGCCCTTCTGACGCTTCCAATAGGCCACAAAACACCCCAGGAGGGGAACCCACCAGGACAATCCAAGAACCCCCCAAGAGCCCGCGGACGCCGTGCAGGGTCCAGGAGGTGGCTTAGACAGCTCAGAAATCCCCAATGACATCCCCAAAAACTGACTGACTGAAAAAAGGATTCCAAAAAAAGGCTCCCAAGACGGCCCGTGCGGCTTTCAAACTGTCCGGACACAGACGCCCCAAGAGGCGTCCAGAATGCGTCCAAGAAGCGTTCACGAGGCTTCAAGATGGCCGAACAAGGCCCGATACGGTCCAGCGAACCTCCGAAAAAAAGCCACCAATACAATGCGAGGCCCCCAAAGCTCTGACAAGACGGGGCAATACACCCATACATATATATGTATATATACATATATATATATATATATATTCCCTCCAGCGATTGCGGGGGAGGCCAAAAGGACTTCTCAGCATCGATCGAAGAAGGCTAAAGGAGAGGGGCGGCGGAGCGAGAGAGAGCGAAAGCCCTTAGGAACAAAAAAAACAGACGATGCACTCAATCACGTTTCGCACGAGCGGCTGACCCACCCCAGCCGATGAACTTCAAGTAGCAATCACATTGCGGCTCACCTGAAACTGCAGCAAGTAAACGGGGCCCCGAAACATGCGCGCAGCTGGCGCAGGGGGCGGCGGGTGGGGCCAACAGGACTACGGCGCAAGCGTTCCCCATGTTGCCCCCGTCCCCCTCTGGGTGGAGGGAAAAGGGAAACGAAGTTACTGGGCATTCCCTCCAGCGATTGCGGGGGAGGCCAAAAGGACTTCTTAGCACCGGTCGAAGAAGGCTAAAGGAGAGGGGCGGCGGAGCGAGAGAGAGCGAAAGCCCTCAGGAAAAAGACAGACGATGCACTCAATCACGTTTCGCACGAGCGGCTGACCCACCCCAGCCGATGAACTTCAAGTAGCAATCACATTGCGGTTCACCTGAAACTGCAGCAATCAAACGGGGCCCCGTAACCTGCACCACTCCAGAGGCCAAGTTGAAAGCCACCGCGCAACAACAATCATCCACTATACCTCTGGCACTGGAAACTGACGGGCTGGGTGGGATGTGTCAAGCGCGCCTTGCTTTTTATAATAAATGAGGGGAGCTCAGTCTTCAGCAGCTGCAAATTTGCGGCTGAAGCATTTTTGACTGCTTCTGGTAGTCCGTGGGGAGTCCGAAGGTAACGACCATGTTCACTACACCTCAGAACACTCGTAATAGCTGCCCATTGTCCACGTCTTTGAATTTTGTAAAGAGGAAAGCCGACCAAAGAATCCATATTCGGACTGCCATGGCACAGCATATGAAGAACAAACTATTGAGAAGACATGTTAAGCTGCGAAACGGCCTGTACGAACCACTTGCGAAGTTGTGCAAGTCCGAAAGGGAAAACCTTTTGCGCGGGCGCCAAGCCGAGCAGCAGCGGAGACAGCAATGAGTTTAGCCACGATCTGTCAGCATGAGACTCGCCCACCACGATCATGTTGCCCCGGGTGCAAGTCTTACTCATGCCGCCGTCGGGCTCGAGGAAGAACGGGTGCCCACTCGGGGCTTGCCCTGTCACGCAATGGCCGCACCGCATCCCGCGCCTTGAGGCCGCAAGTGCAGCTGATTCTGACGTACGCAACGAACGACAGGAGGACCGCCGCCGCTGCCAACGGCCTCAGCGGCCCCACGCGCATCAGCGCGACGGCGATGGCGAGGACGGCCTACTACGGGCACGGATCTCGAGTACCTCGTGGATCTTCGCTCTTGCCAACGTCGAGGGCGCTGAGGGCAGCCGGCAGACTGGATGCCGACGCGCAGCGCATCCTCGCGCTGGCGTGCAGCGCGCTGCGTGCCTCGTGAGCCATGGCCCCCTCGTTGAAGAACATGTTGGTCAGGTGGCGCTCGAGCAAGAGGTCGAACTCGTTGATTGTGCAATCGGGCGCCGCCGCCCGCGGCAAGGCGGTCGTGAAGACCCGAAACGACTCCTGATACCTCGCCAGCGTGACCGGCTTCACCCAGCGCCTCGCCAAGTAGCCGGCCTCGGACGTCTCGCCTAACTGGGCCCGCTTCTGCTCTCGGAGGCGCACCGCCGTGGCCCGCTTCACCTGGGCGTCGCGGCGTCGGCGCACTGGCGTTGGCGGCCGCGGGTCGGTCAGGCTGCGCAGCAAGGGCGCGCTGGCGGCGGCGTCGTGAGTCGCCACAGCCCCACCGCTCTGAACTGTCGCCCCACGGGAGCTCGAAGCGGCGGGGGCAGCTCGGCGCAGGGGGCCACTCGATCGCTCTATCTCCGAGCGCGGCCTCCAGGCCCTCACGCCATCGCCGGAGGACGGGTTGTTCATGCACAGTTCGGTAAGCTGAAGGTGGCGCTGACAGCGCCAGAACTCGAACCGCAGCACGACAGAGAGCAGGCGGACACATACCCGACAAAGTTGTCTTCCAGACCATCTGGAACTTCTGGGGAGCAACCTCTAGGCGAACTTTACCTTGAAGGACCTCATGGGGCACCGAGCATCTGCATAGCTTCCCAAGCTCCTCGAGGCCTTCAAGAGTCCCAATCAGGCGAGTCCTCTTCCGATACGGCGCACCGAAGCGACAATAGTCGAGCAACACCGGCTGGGCCCCCTGAGCCTTGATGAGACTGACGAGAGGGGTCCATCGGTATAACTTCGAATATGCAGGATTCTCCAGAACCTATTTAACGTCGTACTTGAAGGCAGCTCTGAGAATACGAGTAGTAATCATCGCCGTAGCATCGTGGATACCATCAGGGGCCTCAGGGGACCTCTTCGGCATACACCAGTTTGTACAAGGAGTCCCCAACCATATGAACCAAATCCACCTCAACGAGCTCAGACAAACGATCCTGACAAACGAGCGCATCCCGAGAACAGATCCAAAATGGCCTTGTGCTTGGGCGCGCGGGCAGCACGGCTCGTTGGACGGCCGACGCCGCCACTCTGCGCCACCGGGGGCGGCTCAGCGCCCCTCGGATCCGACACCATATCCTGCCGACGAGAAAAAGCTGGAAAAGAAGTAGCTGTGCCCACAGACGAGCACGGCGCACGCTCATTATGTTGTTGATCATCCAATCCAATCTGCGAAAGGTGAGATACGCTCGAGGCTGAGGAAATCACCGCCGTCTCGGGAACTACTTCCAGGCTTGGAGGCGCACGAACCTGGTCACGTAGAGCGAGGTCATGCAGTCCACATCGGCGCAGACGGGCGCGAAGGCGGTCAGCCCCAAGAGCTTCGCCAAGATGAAGCAGTAGCCGGTCTGCAAGCCGAGAGTCCTCATCTGAACAGTTCCGCTCTGAGATCAAGTGGCGGCGCCGCCAGCGGATGTTGCGGGCAGCCTGAGGGGCCGACGAGCGGCGGCACAAGGCGTTCAGCTCGCGGTCCTTGGCCCGCCCGCGCTCCATCGCCAAGATCTCAGACAGGTTGCCCCCCGCCGACAGGAGCTCCGAATCCCAGCGTCGCTCGCGCCGAGAGTGGCGACGAAGCCCCAGCAGAGAAGCGCGGGCCTCCTTGTTATGGATGGCCTCAGGCTTGCACCAACCCCCAACGACCACGCGTCGCCATCTGAGCCGATCGCTGAACGAGGCGCCGAGGGCCGGCACGGCGTGGGCGTCGATCGACTCGCGCGCCCGCCTCGACGCCCATCGTGACGAACTCGCTTTCCACGAAGAAGCGGTGAGGTCATTCACGTCGAGGTCGCCGACACCAAGCTC